ACCACACAGTGCCCGGCTGGCCCTCTAAAGGCAAGAAGCCCCCTCCCTCTGCGTGATTCCCTCACTCACTCACTCATTCAACCAAATGCACTGATTAACTGAAAGATGTGTTCAATTCCAAGGACCTCTCTGGAAGACACCTTCCAAATACCAACATTTTTCTTTACCCTTGTACAAGTGGGTTGGAACACTGAGAGCACAGGCATTGACTGCTTGGTGGACAAGGACTCTCCATCCCCTTCAGTTAACAATCAGAATCCCAGAAAAGGCAACATAAATTCATTTCAATGGAATTCTCCCAAAACCTAGCTTTAAATTGCATTTACGGTGTAACATTTAAAGAAATAAAATTACCTCCCATGTTTCCTTTCCTAGTTACAGTTAAAATAAATTGTCAATTATTTGGAAAGTGCCATAATCTGTTACTTTCTGACTCAGTCACAGAAAGAACAGACTAACTTCAACCAAAACAAGAGTTCACAGGAAGACATAAAACCAGAGCAAATCAAAAAACGCTGTCGAGGTATCCGCTGTGCACATGAACGGCAGTCACCCTAATAGGTTTTAATAACTTCTGACGGGTATGCTTAACACAGACACGGGAGGGAGATCCCTGTTTGCCATCTGGGGAAATAATGCTATTTTGCTCCAGAGGAAGACAGTGCCTACTTCCACCACTGACTAAAGGATAGAGAAAAGGTCAGAGGTGACACAGTAAACAGTATATTACTTACTGAAAAGGACAAAGGGGCCAACTTCCAATAGTTATTTGAAGGTTTCACAAGGTGCCTGCGAATGTCAGAAAGAAAAACTCGAGGCTCTTGATGGCAGCTAACTGGTTACCAAGTTAAATAGAATTTGGAAAGAATTTTACATCCAAAAGAGAAAACCTGCTAACTTTCACTTTGCATTTGTAAAGGATGATAGAATGAATTGGAGAAAACCTTGAAATACAAAAGCAAACCCAGGAAAATAATTACATCTATGAGAAAAGGGAAATGACATGATCATCAAAGAAAATTAAATAATTTAGCTCTGCATCTTGGAAGGTCTAGAATTTATACACAACAGCGTAAAAAAACTAAAGCTATGAAAAAGCAAGCTCAGGACAAGACTCCCCATTTGTTTTCAAGATTTGTATTTGTAACCAGAGTCATTTATCTCTTTAATGACCAGTAACAAAATTATTTTGTTTCTACTTTTCATAGATAACCCTGAATGATACAAGTTCCTGGCTATATAGTGCTGCATGCATTTCATCAGAGTGACCCTGTAAATACTTGGCTGCAATCCCAAACCCCACAGGACACCTGAGGAAGAGGGGAGGAGGGGCAGTTTCTTGGGAAGAGTCTCCTTGGTTGCCCTCACACCCAAGAAACTCCCCACTCTCACCCAGGGTTAACCCTTGATTGGTTTCTGGAAGACTTCTAGAAGTGCACCGCAGATTTCTCAGGGAACCCAGGGCCACAATTCATCCTAACAGGTTCAGGAACCAATATCCAACACGTATATCCCCAGGATGGGTCCAAGTGCCTACCTCCACCCTCCCCCACTGCCAAGGGCAAAATGGACTAAGCCCAGCGTGAATTTCTGGGACCCAATCAATGCCAGGAGAAAACTTCTAAAGCAATGGCCCGTCTTTATTTGATGCTCTAAACATCACAGAACTTCCCAGCATTCACCTGAAAACCTGATGCTTCATAAGCTGCTTGGAGAATTGCAAATCCACCTTCCGAGAACTCTTACTACTTTGGCAAGTGTAGCGTGAATCTAGTGCACACACAGCACGAACAAAGTCCTTGTGCTCTAAGCACAAGGGGACCATCTTTCTTCACCTTCCGGACCTTTCTGGAGCTTTCTGGACCCCACCATCAACACTTGCCACATCCCCCGCTGTATGGAACTGGTATGTCCCAACGAGTCAGGTGACCATAGATGGGAAACAGTTCCTCATTGTCCCAAAGAGAGCATTTTACATTTTGGCCACTTCAAATATATATACTTTTATGGATACAGATAAAAGCCAAGTGTTTATTATTATACGTCATTTATTTAACTATGCATTCCAATTACCATCGTAGTATATGAATATTAATTTAGACATAATTTTGCCCCTCACATTTTCATGAATATATCTTCACTTTACTGGCATCTTTGATATCAATCTCTTAATCACCACCAACACTTAATTATCATCACGAGCACCCATTTTTTTGGTGATCATTTCATGTCCATCTAAAATGCTTACAAGATGACACTTTTCATGAACCACAGTAAATCATTTCCCAAGCCACAGGTCTCCATTTATGTAAGATTAGCAGGGCTTTTTAAAAATTTTGTATGTAAGGAATATTCATTATCTTTCATGATTTCTGCAAAATAGTTGATTATTACATTTTTCAGATGACCTTTAAAAGATTTATCATATGGATATCCAGCCCTTGTATTCATGTTAGCGCAAATTGCAAATATAAAGTTTCTTTGCTTCTTTATCAATTCTGCCAGGTGACCTGTAAAATAATGGCAAGCTGGCATCGAGTCTCTAGGCTAATGTGTTTTAGCATTATTTTTTTAAAGAAAATAATGGGAAAGATGTCATAGGGACTAAAGAGAAGGCTACCCGACTTTGAAGGCCCACTGTGGGGAGCAAATGTGGGTGTGCATTGAACCAGACCATTACTACATTGTGGAGACCAGGTGGGATCTCCCTTTCTGCACACAGGGGTTCTCCAGACCTGGTTCCTGGATCTGCATAGCAAGTTCCTCCAACCTCCGCACGTCCCGGGGCTGGGCAGCCCTATGGGCTTCTCACTGGGGTCCTCTTGTGCCCCCTCACTCACTGGGGTCTCCCCAAGCGCCAACTCTTCCCACATCCCCACCACTTTTGATACCTGTCTTGAGTTGGTGCTGGGAAACATCTGTTAAATGAAGGCATGTATGAATAAAACCCCAAAGCTTTAAAAAAAAGAAAAGCATAGTATCCAGAGGTGAAATTCGGGAAAAAGAAAGGAGGCCTCTGGTGGAGAGAGTTGTGAAGTCCTGAGTCTAAATACCTGGGATGATCTACCATACTGTGTCCAATGGGTTGTGATAAAATAAGAGAAAAAAATAATTTTGTAATGAGCCCAAAGTTTTTAAAATTTAGACCGTATTTCCTTACTATGTGATTGGAGCCCACCTACTTTAAGGTCAGGAGGTCCTTTCTTGAGTAGAATGATCTAACAATAATAAACACCAGCTGATGTTTGCAGCCGCTTATCCCTCACTGATGGATAACACGGGTCTCCACTGTCTCCTTCCCTGACCAACAGACCCTCGGCTTTGTATGCATCCCCCGCCCCACTGATGCACCTCCTAGAATGTTGCCTGGCACAGAGAGGGGGCCAATGTGTGAGTACAATCTTTTGGTCAGTGGCAATTGGTTTTTACTGGTCCATGAGAGCATGCTGACTGTTGTACAAACCAATAAACTGCAAACACAGCAAAGAAGGCCCAGGGGTAAGTAAGAAGGGCTCTCACACCCCTTTGTTTCCCCTAATCCTTCCCCAAAGTCCAGGCCTAAGACTTCTCCATCCTGCGGAGGGTTGAAGGGGTAAGAATCAGGTTTGGGGCACACAATGGTCTAAAATGCAAAGACTGGAAGAGAGGACAATGAACAAACCAGGAATCAAGGAGCAGAGGATTCCAGGTCTCCCATCCCAGCTGGGCTAAGGGGGTCATAATGCCTCCCAGGTTAGCCACCCGAGACTCCCAACTCCCCAAGCCTTCAGGAGACAGAATGCCTCTGATCAACCCTCTTCCTCAGAAGCAACCCCATCGAGCACTCCCCTGCCCTCAGTCTCACCTCTATGAGACCCTGTGTCCCCACGTGGTGTGGCAGGAGGGGCCACGGAGCATCCCTGGATATGGATGTACTCTGCAGAGACCCTAAGGTCCTGTTTGAGTTCCATCCCTGGAACCTGGAATTCCTCATGGAAACTCACTGAAAAACATGGCCAAGTGGTATTTTGTTGAGATACTAATTTGTGTGCATTCTCTCTGACCTCTGCCATGGAAATAATATATGATCTCTGCCTCCTCATCCCAGGAGGCAGTCTGGCGTTGCTGGACTGAACACTGCCCCGCAGGAGGCATGGGTGCAAAATCGTGTTTCCCTCTGGGCTCCCGAGGAGAAGCTGCTGGACCCCAGGAGATGGCTCCCATCCAGTCCCATTATTGCTCAGAGGCCCAACTCGGAGGAGGGCCTTCTACACTACGATTAGATTTAAAGTCTTGATATGACAACGAGTGAGTGGACCTGAACCAGATGTCTTTGCTTAACAAAAATAAAATAGGAAATATTTATACTGAAGTAACCAGACACCGCTGGAGCCCGAGTGTGGTAGAGAACATAGACACATGTAGCTGGAAATGGCTTCATATATTATCTTCCTAATTGCAGTATGTAACAGTCACTCCCCAATTAATTCATTATAGGTTATAAAAAACCCACAGTCTAGCCAGGAGATTACTGGATGAAGGATTTAAGGATAGAGGAGGTTAAAAAAAAATTCTTTAGTCATCAAATGGCAGAACAATAGTAAGTAATGGGAGTTAGAAAGATTTAGATGCATTAAGAATACTGTATTTTTGGAGCAAATACCAAAAGATGGAAAAGCATAAATATTTTTTAGATCTAAACATTCATCATTCCTCTTAATGACAAGGGCAGTAGCTCAAAATGGTGATGGGAAATGCATGCAGCAATTTTGAGCCCAGGTTAACAGGGGACAGCAGAAAGGGTGTCTAGGATGTTTCCTCTCCTGTGTCATATCATAATAAAGGGACAGAAAAATTGATCAGTTCTAAAGCTTTAAACAGCTTCTTAAAGATTTTACGTAACTTTTAATAGGTTTTTCTTTTTCTTCCACGTATCACAGTTATTTGTTTGGAAGATTAAGAAATCACCTTAGGAAATACAGAAAATGGAACTCACTAATCATCTTCCATTTAGCCTCTTATACGAGTAAATAGGGAAATCATTCATAATCACATCCATTACAAAAAATTCAAATTATTCCACTCTGTTTTATTATCTATTAACAGGAGGCACACCTCCTCACTATGAAGTTCAGTTAGTGAGTTTCTCAAATGATTAACACCTTTTTAACAGCCAAAGGGTTTCTCACACCAAAGCAGGCAGGTCAGGAGCCTTGCCTGGGCACATGCAGCCACCAACGAACTGGAACTGTTCAGCCAGCTCCGAGGCATCCAGGAAAGATAGGCTACGGCACCAGGTGTCTGCATCTCCTTGGACACCAGTGGCAGGTGCATTTTCAGAGTGACTTTCTGACCTCCAGTTCCCATATTCATTTGTTCTTAAGGTGTTGGTGCCCCAGCATGCCAAGCCAAATGCTCATCGGCCAAGAGCTTTGGTCTGCCGGAGAAGCCAGACGTGCAGACAGCAATTGCCAACACACCTGCTCACTGTGGGTTCATAACCACGGGAGTCTTCTGTGGAGGACTCTGGAGAACAAAAGCATGAAGCACAGGATGCCAGGATGAACTGACACCAGCGGCTTCTGAACTGGGGACTGGAGGCTGATCACAGGTCCCCTGGGACAGAGGAGGAAGCATGCGTTCCAGGCAGAGATCTCTGCAGGCAAGACTTGAAGACAGACAAAGCGCAGCAGGGCCAGGAGAGTATCATTCCTGCTGGGCCCACAAGTAGAGACCAGAGGGAGTGAAGGGACAGCAAAGGAGCCGGTCAGGAGGGAACATACAGGGCATAGCCACTGTCCCTTCTTACCCTCCCACTGAAATCTCTATTTGCCCTCTCCCCTGCAGCCAGACATGGTGACACCACGCCCAGGGCCTGAAAGAACTGGGTATGACTTAATAGTTCCCATACAGAGGAAAGAGAAAATGAATGAGAGAAGGCAGGCTCTTGCATCCCGAGTGAGAAGTGACAGCTGCTGGGAATACCTCTTCTCCTTACAACAATTACCCTTTACTGATTGGACATGTCAGCATCCCATGACAGTGATGGGGAGAAAGAGGGAAACAAAACAGCAGGAGCCCATAGCTTAGAGGAGGCTCACAGCAGAAGCCAAAGGGGAAAAGCAGGGCTCGTGTTCACCCTCTGACTTCAGCTTCTGTCCTGTGAAGAGCCGACATACGTATAAGCGTCACGGGGCCAGCACAAGGAACTCCGGGGATGATGAAATCCAGTTCTAACTCAGGATTGTGGTGTGATGAGATGCTGCATGTACTTTCAAACTTCTTCAAGCCATACACTCAAAAGGGCTGCATTTATAAAATGTAAATTATACCTCAACACAAGCGATTTAAAAAGAACTCGAGACCCTGATTCTGTTTGTCCACAGCAGGTAGAAGAACTGACGACACAGCCAAAAATTTCTGAGCCAGAACCCAGGCATGTCTTAGATTAAGGCCAGGAAAGGCATGGATGGCTATTGAAGCTGCTGTCACTGGAGAGGCAGTCCTCAAAGCCAGTCCGTGTCACAGCACAGAGACCCACTGAACAAGAACTGAAAGCAGACAAAAAGAAGCAGAGGCAGGGAAGAGACTGGAGCCAGGAGGTCCTTTCGGTTTGTTTTGATGCAGGGAGAGCACCCCAGGGACCTTTCAGACTTGGGATCATGGAGGCACTAAGCCATGTGCAAGGTCATTATCTGCTCCTCAACGCAAGAAGTCTCAATGAACAAAAACACCCCCAGGGTAGGGTCCACACAAGTGCAAATACGTAGAAATGAACTGTCACATGTTCAGGCTAGCAGCAGCCACTTCTTACAAGGTGAACATCAGTGGATAGTTACATGCTTCATAAAACATTGTATCTCCTAATAAAGGAAATATAAATGGTTTTCAATTCTTTGAAAATAGTATTTATTTTGCCAAAATAGAGCACCATGGGTTCAGCAACTTCTCAAATGGAGATGACATATTTAATTCCTAGAGAGAGCACAGCCTCCTCTAACTACCTTGGGGGGTCACAAAGGGCTGGGAGTGAGATCACACCAGCCTCTGAGGAGTTAGGAAAACAATGATGAGCTAATGAGGGGACACTGGGAGTGCGAGAGAGAAGAAAAGCAAATTGCAGGCTGGCAGACTCCATCCTAGCTCCTGATAAATCAAAGTCCAAAGGTGTCATTTGAAAATATTAAATTATTGGGTAGGAAAGTCCAAATTCAAACAAAGAATAAATGAAACCAGTTTTTAGTAGCCTAGCATTACAGACAGGCTACTAGCGCCAAACTCAGTGTCAACCACAACACGTAACTTTCAGTGTGCATCTGGGGCTCCTCCCAGGAGAACATGCAGGTTTGCCTGTGTGAGATGCTGCGGGGCAGGGATGCCGGAGAAAACAGAACCGTGCCTACACAGCCCCAGCACCTCCAGAGGTTGCGACCTTGTCCAGACCCAGTGGAATGCAACTGAAGTGAAGGAACCTCAGGACGGCTGGGTAGTAAATAGTAATTATTACACAAAAGGAAATATCAACGAAACCCTGTAGAGCGTGTTTGTGTGGCAGTGGGAGGGGAGGTCAGTAAAGTGTCAAGGAAGAACAATAAATTTTCAGACGAAATGCTATTCCTTTCCAGTTTTCACAAGGAAATTAACAAGGCAGCATAGCATATGGGCAAGAACTCAAATTCTGAGCTGAAGGGGGCTTGGAGTTCATCACCTCTAAGCTCCTTGGAAGCAGTCTGGTGGTAAGAACAGTTGAGACAGATACAGATATACTGTGGTCCCTGAAAAGCCTTTATTCTCATAGGAAGTAGGCTCACGCCATCAATGACTTAGTCCAGCTTATAATAAGCATTTGTCTGGAAAAGCTTCATTTTCCTGGCTGGAGGAGGTGAATGGCAGCTCAGCCATTACAATAATTATCCCAAATTATGAATACGTGGGGTGTGAATGAGACTTTCCTCCACTGAACTTAACGTAGTGTCAAAAAACAAATGAGCTAAGGAAAAGATTTTAAATATCACACAATTGGCATACTAATTTGAGGAGCTATATAATTGGTCCAAAATACAAAGATATACCATCTCTAAAGGACTGACTACTGTATCGAGTATTTCTTTAAGAAAAAGGTTTCTTTTAAAAAATCCGTCTCTGTGCACACTTAAATTACCTTCCAATGCAAGAAAATGATGGCATTTTGTCCTCTTCAGCCTATGCCAACTTTTCTTTGATGTTCACTATCTATTTCAAAGAGGTGACTGGTTTCAAGAGAGAGGACCGCAGAGTGTATGTAAATGCAGAGGGAATCTCACAACACAGTCTATAAAGCTCTTTCCTTGGTTTTACAAATGGGAACAAGAAAACTCAGCGGAGTGAAAAGTTTCTGTCTGAAGGAACTGGAGCGGCTGGCAGCTGGGACCAGAAGGCTCAGACTGCAGAGGAGAGGAGCAGGCCCCCGCCAGCCCAGCACCTGGGACTCCTGACAGAAATGGTCTGTGTTGTGATGGATGGGTGGGTGACTTGATATAAGCATCTGTCCTACTGAGTAAGCTGTATGTACCACATGTGTGCATTTCAATGTATATGAATTATACCTCCATTTAAAATTCACCTTTTCAAGATAGGGATTTCAGACAGAATCTTTACAAGCAAGTACATGAAAGACTCCAAATAAAAGACAAAGGTTGTCAGATTGGGAAAAATAACACCAATATGCTATGCTGCTCACAATAAGCTGTCCTTAAAACAGGAACAAAGAACAGCTAAGACTAAAAGCATGTCAGCTCTGCCCGCCAACACAGCCCACAGGGAGCAGGCGAGCTGTAGGACATCAGAAGTAATCAGAAGCTTCAAGCCCCACCAGCACTGCGTCCACAGAAACTCCCCCGTGTCTCCCATGCCCGAATCCAGCGCTTTCCACCCCTCCGCCGACAAGAAGCTGACAGCACGGAATGAGGTGCACATCGGGGAGTTGAAAGCCCACAGGACAAGCTGAGGAGCTGCAAGGACCCCTGAAGGGAAGGGAAGCCAAGACTCATGCGGGCACAGAGCCACCTTCCTGCCGGACAGTGAGTCAGGGCAGGCCACATCCACAGCCGAGGGTGACCGGCACACGTAGGAAACAATCGCGGTTTTCTACAAATGCTTTGTACACAGGCAGGATGTTGGTCTCACGTTTCATCGCCCTCCAGCTGGTCGGGCGCCCTGAGTGAAGGACAAGGGCTAGCCCCACAGATCCCCCAAGTGGCTCTCCTGGGACAGCCTGTCTGCAGTCCTGGGAGGGCGCCCGCTGGCCGTGCCCCCGAGAAGGGGCTCCCCATGTGTGCCACAAAACTGAAAGGGGACTTGCAAGATTCCAGGAGAACTTTTCTCAATTAAAGACATATTTTACTTAAAAATGTAAATGAAAAAAAGTTATCCCATGACAAAAGAAGAAAAAGGATAAAGAATTTCATAGAATAAAACTTCAAAGAACTCATATAATTTTCTTAAGGAGAGACCCTTACCCCTCCCAGGGGAAGAATCCATTTCCCCCTATTTTTTCCCTTGAGAGATTTTGTCCTTTTCTAAAAACATAATTTTGGATTAAAAAAATAACCCCCACATGTCAGCTCTACATGAGTCAGCGCAGGATGTCAACTGCTGCCACCAGATTATTAGAACGCATCCCCACTCCTCAGCGGTGAGGTCCGGGGTGGGTCGGGACCGCCCCCCACCTCACGGGGCTCCCAGGGCAACTACACCCTCCAGCCCCTGGGCTCCTGTCGTGGCAAAGCCGCCCCACGCCTGCCAGCTCCACTCTCTCTTTTTCCTTTCCTCCCATTCTTCTGCACCCTCTCTGGAATGTTCCCCCCGCAAACTGCCACCTGCCCCTCCAGCCCAGAGCCAGGCCATCTGCTTCCACCAACCCTCACCTGAGGACGTCAGGCCACTCACCATTTTCTCTGGGTCCCTGTCTTGCCTGCAGTCCTCATCATGATGCCATTATGCAGCTCCTCTTCCGTTATCTATTTTGGGGACCAAATGCCTGGTCCCCTCTCCTGCAGCCAGAAGAGGACACCTTTTCTGTGCATTCTCGTGGCCAAGGGCCAGTACGACTCCACAGCTGGCACCAATGAGACCTCAGTGTGCTAGGAAGTAACCCAATTACGTCGCCTCTGCATACATGTTTAAAGTACATACACGTCAACATACTAACCCTGACGCCACCACCCACAGGGTTCCTCATCTAAAGCAGACGGGGAAGCACTCGAGATTGTCTCCTCTGTGAGAACAAACTCGGGGCACATACCCTCACGTGACCCCAACTTCTACTTTTCCCAGAATGAGCTCTCCGGCCACTCCCATGGAGACATCAGCTCCCACTCACTGCGGACACGTGGGCTTCAGGCACCTGCCTGCCCTCATCCACAGAGGGCTGCAACATGTAGTGAAACTGCAGACAGGAAGGCAGGGAGGGCGGTGCCGAAGTCACGGCAGGTGTCCTGGGCCCACAGAGAAACAACAGGAGAAATCCCCCACACAGAAATGCCCCCGGGACAGTGACCTGGGAGGGGGCAGGCCTGGAGGAAGATGAGGACGCCGGCTCGTGGGCAGGCGGCAAAGAGGAGCTGGGCAGGCCAGAGGTGAGCCCCTGGGGCAGGTGGCGCAGGCCCAAGAGGCAGGTCTGTTCCGGGGCAGGAGAGGACCAGGATGAATAGAAGGCTCTGGCGGCCTGGAGAGCAGCAAGGGGCCTGGGCTGCACACCCTGCGGAGACCCCACCCACCACCAGGAGGCACTCAGCTGCCAATGCAGGTTCCCGCGGAGGTTCCCACGCCACCCCTGCCTCGTGGTTCTTTCTCCTTATGTGTCTTTGTTCATCATTTTGGTTGAACTTTTTGGCGTCACTTTATGTCAGGTAGCTCTCCACTTATCGGCATCTCACTGGATGCTGATGGGACCCAGCAAGTCTGTGTGTGTCGGTAAGAAGGTGTTCGCTTCCTTTTCATGGGAAGCGACATCTGTACGTGCTGGGGACACCACTGGCCATGCCTTTACCACCGGCTCGTTATAAACACACATATAAGCCACATAGAGACAGAAAGAATTCAGAAGTAATTGTGACCCCAGAGCGGACAGGAAGTCATCTCTGTGTGACAGATTTGTGCGTGTATTTTACAGGAGGACCTTTTCCTTCTTTGTGACCTGTCTCTGAGAAGCAATCAAAATAAAGAAATGAAAGTTTCATTAAACGGAGTCCGCCTACAGTTTCTAATGGCTCTGGACTCTGTGACAGGCCACATTTTTGTAACACATCCCAAAGAACACTGCACACTCACCCCAGCTCACCAGCACCCACGGTTGCCTGCTGCCCTGGGGTGCCTCCGGCTGCAGCAGGAAGGCTGAAGCAAGGAAAGGTGAGCACCTGCCACTCACAAACGAGACACCCAAAGGGGAGATTTCAGGAAGTGAATCATATAGTCTGGAGCTCACCTACATATTGCTGGACCAGAGGTTTGTTTTCCTGTCCGCGTGGACCTGCAAAAATATGGCTGCAGAAAGGAGCAGGGAGCCCCCTGTTTGACCGTGTCAATCAGCAGGATGCTTGCCAGGGCTGATGGATGTATAAAGTTCTTCCCATCTGGTGATGGGACGTGTCAGCAGTCTGGGCCCACCCAGGAACCAGCACAAGACAATCAGCCTGACAAATAGCAGAACAGTAGTTTCTGTCCATCTTAATATAAAATGGACCGTTTAAAAGAAGAGCAATGAAAGCAGTTGGTGGTCACCTAATTTCTCAAACAGAGCACCTTTGTGTTTATTCTTGGGGCTGACCACACAGAATGGGTACTGTCACAAGGACATGAAAATATCACTCTCAGAATTAACTATACCTTTATTAGGTTTGACCCAATCAGACGATGAGGACTGTTGTTCTTCATTACTCATTAAACTAGAGAGAAGATAATTTATGCTGAAGAAAAATAAGTGCGTCTGCCTAACAATCAGTCACTGTATCTGAAGGTTACACAGGCAAGAATAAAGCCCGCTTCGTTTTAATAAGGTACGCCTTTTATAGCTTTTTTTCCCCCTTACCTCTCCCCTAATTCAGTGTACCATACTGCATGTCTAGGATTTCCCAAGGGAAAAATAATTCTACTGGAATTATAAAAGTGTCACATTCACAGTTCATAGAGAATAATACTGCTCAGATTCTCATCAGAATTATACTGCCTGGCACACGATTTTAAAAAGAGCCAATGTAATGTACACTGACTCCGATGACAGGGAAAGGCAGTGGGCTGCAGAGTGGGAAACCAGGGCTGACCTTCCCTCATAGGACCGCTCTGTTCCTGGGTAAATTCCAGAAAAAAATTCTGGATACGACTTTCCCAAGCCCCAATTCCCTGACTCCCCAGTGTTAACTACTTGAATGCTTCTGAAACTCAACTTTACAGAAGGGCCATGATCTCATCAATACACACACAGAAATAATTTATTCCATCATAGTTTTGCAAAATACTTCTGATGAAACTTTGTAATTATTCAATAAAAGTATAATGGAGCTGATGATTTTTTTAGGCTCTTGTATGAAATATTCCTTTTCCCACTTGCTGATGCCCTCGCACTAGTCAACCTTTCAATAAAATTCTTCTTGGGCTTATTTCAGCTCTTGTCTCCTCTTGGGCCTCAGCTTGGCTGGTTGGCATGCTGGCTGCAACACCGATCCTA